TTGGTGGGTGAACATCTGCTTCCACTCACTGGCACTTCCCCAAAGCCAGCCCAGCACTCTTCAGCTGCCCTGTGGCACAGGTGTCCCCACTGTATCTGTTAGACGTGGGGGCCAAGGATCCCAGGAGTTAAATTCTCTTCTTGAGGTACAGGGCAACTCCAGTGGGGCCGAAAATTGGCCCTGCCCTATGTTCTTTCTACCTGGCTGACTTGCCTCTGCAGTCACCTGGACAGGTGCTCATGGTAAGCCAACAGTGTGTGTGTGATTTCCCCAAGACAAAGAATAAGCCTAGTCTCTAAAACATTGTTATGAAAACTGTATTTCTCTACCTCTCCAGGCGAGAGGGAGCAGGAAAACCCAGCTAGAGTCTCCCTAGAGTCTAGGGCAGGGTTCTCAACCTTCCTAATGCCTCCACCCTGTCACACAGCTCCTCATGTTGTGGTGACCCCCAACAATAAAATTATTTTCGTTGCTACTTCATCGCTGTAATTTTGCAACTGTTGTGAATTGGCCGAACACTGTGAAAGGGTCGTTCAACCCCCAAAGGGGTTGGGACCCACAGGTTGAGAACTGCTGGTCTAGGGAGCCCAGAGCCGGGGTGGCTAAGCGCTGGGCAGCGGCAGAGGCTCTTCAGAGAAGGGCCATTGGAGCAGGAGTTTCCCTGGTGGAGGAGCCCAGGATGAAGGATGTTTCGGGCTGAATGACCCCACGTGGGGGCCCAGCTGGAGGGAAGTGGCGTGGAACCGCTTGGGCGCCGTACCAGACCGAACACGGCAAGAGTCTGCGGGTGGCAGTAAGTGGGGAAGGCGGGCTCGCTGGCATCTCAATGGGGCGATGGTGGCAGGGCTGAGAGGGCCAAATGAAGACGATCTCAGGGTGGGCCCCACAGGGGAGCAAGGGAGGAGAACGTGGGACCTGCGCCAGGTAACCATGGACAGTGACAGGAGGCAGCTGGGCAGGGACACAGAGCTAGAGACCCACAGGCTGGGTTGTGGGGGACAGAAGGGGCTCGGGACCACCTGGGGCAGGGCGTGGGGGGGCCGGAATCCCATCGCAGGGGGCGGGACTGGGGGATTCCATTGCGGGGGTGGGGCGGGGGGTGGTGGTTCCCATGCAGGGGACAGGGGTGTGTGTGTTTGGAGGGAAATCCCATCGCAGGCAGACCCACAGGCACTGGCACAGTGTCCTGGAGGCAGGGAGGCCCCAGGGCTGGGGCGGAGCACAGGGACACCCCCTTCTGGGTCTGGGGTGAGTGTGAGCTCAGGGACAGAGTTGCGCCCTTTGCGCTCACGCGGAGCTCAGACCTATGGGCCCTTGGAGACATCGAGGCAGGAACTTGGGGTCTTGACCGGCAGGCATCACGGTGGACAGGGGTGAGGGGACGGCTCCCCTTGCCCCACCCTGGGTGATCTCCCATTGGGCCAACTCTTAAATTGGATTAAAGTAAGAGGTAAGGAGCAACAGGCTGGGGATAGCCCTGGGGGTGGTGGGCAAACTATCCCCACCTTCCTCAGCCTCATCACCTCACAGCCCCGCCCCCCAGGTGCGGCCACCCTCCCCTCTTCACATGGGAGGTTCGCTCTGGATTGGGGGTGGATTGAGGGTAAAGCCAGATCAAGAGCCAGGCTAACAGGCCCCAACCCAGATTCTGGGGCCACCCTGCCTGGAGCCTCTCATGGTGGGGGCTGCAGCCTGACCATTGAAGGGACCCCTGGGGCAGCCAGTGTGGGCCCTCCCCACCCCTAGCAGAGGGAGGTCACGGGACACATTTTCCAGGAGAGCTAGGTGAGTTTCTGGCCCAGCCCACACTGGCTCTGTATTGGAACTTGTCTGACAGGTCTGCCTGAAAGGAACAGGCCCCACTGCCCTGGTGAGGTCCCCAGAGGGCCTGGGCGCCTGGGACAGAACATGAGTCCTCCTGCTTTTTGGGCCAGGCCTCATTTCAGGTCGCTCTCCACCCCCCTACACACACAC